GGCCGCGTCCTGGCGGCCGTGTCCGCAGCGGGGGGGGCGGGACCGGTTCCGTGGGCAGGACACGGGCACGGACACGGACACGGCCCCGCGGGCAGGACATGTCCCCTGTGGTCACTGCGTGTCCCCCACGGGCAGGACATGTCCCTTGTGGTCACGGCGTGTCCCCTCGGGCAGGACACGGCCACGTCCCCCACGAACGCCACTCGTCCCCGCCGTGGGCGGGACACGGACCTGTGGTCGCAGGGTGTCCCCCACGGGCGAGACGTGTCCCCTGTGGTGACAGCGTGTCCCCACGTGCAGGACATGTCTCTTGTGGGCAGGACATGTCACCACAAGCGGGACGTGTCCCCTGTGGCCAGGACGTGTCCCTGTGGTCACAGTGTGTCCCCCACGGACAGGACATGTCCCCACAGACAGGACATGTCCCCACAGACAGGACATGTCCCTGTGGTCACAGTGTGTCCCCTATGGACAGGACATGTCCCTCACGGGTGGGACACGTCCCCACAGACAGGACATGTCCCTGTGGTCACAGTGTGTCCCCCCACGGACAGGACACGTCCCCACCACCATCGAGGCCACCCCACCTCCCCACGCAGCACCCCAACTCCCCACGTCCCCCCCTCCACGCCACCCACCGTGTCCCCCCCGGTGTCCCCTGTCCCGCAGGTGGCCCCCGCGCCGCTGAGCCATGCGGGATCGCCCGGAGCTGTCGCCAGCAGAGCCATGAGCAGCTGTCGCTACAATGGGGGGGTGACACGGCCCCGGGGCCCCCTGAGCTCCTCCTCCCGCACCCCGCAACCCCCGGACGGGGAAACGCAGCCGCTGCGCCCCTGCCCCAGCCCGCGGCTCCAGGTGGTCGTGTCCCGACCGGAGCATCCCGGGCCGACAGAAGCCGGTTCTGTGGCCGCCTCACCGGGCCAGGAGGCGAGCGAGGAGAGGGCGGGAGAGCGGAGGAGGAACCAGAACATCGGCTACAAGCTGGGCCACCGGAGAGCCCTGTTCGAGAAACGCAAACGCCTGAGCGACTACGCGCTGATTTTTGGCATGTTCGGCATCGTGGTGATGGTGACCGAGACGGAGCTGTCCTGGGGGGTCTACACCAAGGTTTGGAGGTGTCCAGGGAGGGGTTTGGGGGGTTCTGGGGTGCGGTTCTGGGAGGTTCAAGGTGTGTCCGTGTGTCTTGGTTTGAAGGACAGGTGTGTGGCAAGAAAGGCGGGAACCTCTTTTGAAAATGGAGAATGTAAAACCCCTCCCTCCGAATTATTATAATTTTGAAATTAAG